CATAATGGAGTACTACTCAGCTGAAAAAAAAAGCAATGGAATCTTGAAATTCGCAGGCAAATGGATGGAACTAACAGGTTGTATTTTTATATTTTGGAGCACACACACATGAGAACTAATAAAGAAACAGAAGTTATGAATTTGAAAGAGATGAAGGGAGCATATGGAAGGAGGTGGAGGAAAGAAAGGAAAGAAGAAAAATAATGCAGTTATATTTTTTAAAGATTAAAAATGTTTAAAAAGAAAGAGAAAAATAGAGGGGAATACAGAAAAACAGAGAGGAAGGAGAGAAAGAGAATGAAAAATAATAGATTACACCAGACATTGGCCTCTGCCTTCCACAAACACAAACATCATCACACACAAACACCATACACACAAAAGTAAAAAGAAAAAAAAAACTAAAAAAGGAAAAACCTACATTTGTAAACCTCATATTTATAATTATTCTAAAATTAAACGTTTACTAAAAAGTCCTTGATTTGAACTAAGACACATATTAAAGTGAGTCTGCTCTGGGCCCTTGTCTTGGATCCTCTGGTTTGAAGGGAAAATAAATGTCACTGTTCTCCTGAATATCAGATATCACAGTGTTCCTCCTCCACGATTTTTAACTCCAGGTTCAATCTTCCATTCATTGTACCTCGATTTATCATCATTCCCTTTCTCCTAACAAATGTCCTGATCATTTCTGGAACAATAATCTGATTTTTGGATTTATAGTAGCTATGTTGGCCATGAAATGTCTTTAGGCTGGAAGCTCTCAGCAGTGGAAGAGGAACACATGTTATAAAACAAAGCATGATGGTTTTAAAGCACACCATTACTTTACATATAAGGAAATACTGAACAAGATAAACAATTAAATTAGGACACAAAGTTGTCTTAGCTCATTTATTTCTTATGCTTTCTGAAATATTTCTTTACACTTATTTTGGCATTAATGTTTATAATTCTCTCATTTTGCATACACATAAAAAAGACATAAATAAACTGTAAAGTACTATTAGACTAAATAAAATATATAACAAATGGTATAAAGTACTATCAGAACTTCAGATACAAGTTTTCCTCATCAGTTTTTGTACTCAGAATCATGTGGGGCTCTGAACATTCTCCTTCATGGCATCAAGCTATACTACTGTGGCACTATTTCTTAAGAGTTTTCCACAGTATCTCTTGGGATTTTCAGTCAATAAGGCCACTGTTAAGTTTGAAGTGCATGCTCAGGCAATGACAACCACAGCCAACATTGATGGTGGGACAGTAAACATTGCTATTTCAAAGATGTGAAAATGTGAGGGGAAAAATGTGCCTCTTGGAATCAGTGAAATGTGACAGGAAGTCCCACAGCAGCCCTGAACTGGTTTCCTTCATAGTCATTTTCCACTATGGAAGAGAAACCTATCTTTTTCAAACCTGTTTTTCTGGCTTTTTTTACGACCCATAACCTAAGCCAATTTCAGTTGAAACAAGAGTTTTAAAACTGTTGTCCTAACTTCTTTCCTTCCTCATCATACCTCACTTCACTCCCTTTTCACTAGTGAATCGGCTACAAATTCCTTCTTTGCCTTTTAAAGTAATATTTTCTAATATAATTCTCCAGACCTTGCCCTTCATTCCAGGTTTTCTGAAACAAATTCATCAATATGCCTCTGAAGCTGTACTCAAAGGACACACCACACACACACACACACACACACACACACACACACACACACACCATGTACCACCCCACCCACCCACAAAAATACACATACATACATACAAACACACTTAGTAATACATACATATACATACACAATACATATATACACACACAGCGCATACACACACAGCATATACATACACACATACAAACACACACACACAGCACAGCACATACATACAAACACACACAGTACACATATAAAAACACACACATACATACAAACACACACAGCAATACTACAAACACACACACACTTTGTATAAAATGTAATTCTAAAATATGAAGCATCATATATTTTTTACCTGCAATTTATCATATATATCAATATGATTTATGAGACCTTCCTCAACTGACAATTGATTAGTTATATTTCTTTGGCTTGTGAAAATAAACTAGAATTGCTGGCAAATGATAAAAATAAAGTAAAATATTAAAAAATCAGAAATGTGAAGCAAATTTCTAGACTAGAAAAGGTTTGGGAGAAATTAAAGGGTACTTTGTACTGTTTGTCACACATTTATTTATGGGGAAAATACATTTCCTTTTGCTAGAAAATGAAGTACAAGTTGTTGGTGACAACCATTTATTAAGAAATTTCCTTCTGTGATAAAGTGATGATTTTTCCACCACAGGTAAATTATTCAGCACAGTTCATTTGAATCCGTGTTTGAGCCAGAGATGAAGTTATCAATTTTACCATTTTTCCCCTCTTCTGTCCTGCTATTATCATTGCCTGAGATTCTGGTACCCATAGCAACAGCCACTGTTTTAGACATCATTCCCCCAAGCAACTGAGCATGGCTAGTGACTGACAATCATCCAGCTGTGTGTCTTAGGGTGGTACGTGCCGGGGCTTAGAGACCTAGTCATATCTTACTACTAAGTGTTTAAAGTTCAGTTACCAAGGAATTGAGAAGGTGGTACACCCCAAAGAAGTTTTCCTCTGTCTTTCTGTCAGGTGTGGGACAGGGTTGGAAAATAAGGAAACTTTCAGTAAAAGGCCCAAGTCTAGAAATTAGAAAGAAAAACAGGAACTTCTTTCACCAGGCTAAACATTTCTTACCTATTTTCATGTCTGTCTCACATATTCCAGAGCCTGTTTGTGACTACCAAAACTGAGGCAAAGGACAGGGACTTAGAACATGCATTCTTTACTCTCAGAAAAACAAAGATAAAATCAGTGAGGCTGGAATTCAGAGAGACGGCTCAGTGATAAAGAGCACACACTGCTCATTGCAGGACCCAGGCAGCTCCCAGCACCCATGTCTGTTATCACACAACTATCTGCTACTCCAGCTTCAGAGGGGCTGATGTTATTTTTGGGCTTTTGTGAACACCCATGATTCTCTCTCTCTCTCTCTCTCTCTCTCTCTCTCTCTCTCTCTCACACACACACACACACACACAAAACTAAAAATGAAGTATGAACTTTCAAAAAAAAAAAAAGGAACAATGGAGTTGCTACTGTGCCACGATTTCCCTGTCAAGGATTTTTTTTTTTTTAAGAAAAGCTGCAAAATATCACCTGTCCCACAGTGGCTTGTAATGGGCACTGGCATCTAATCACTTTTCTTTTGAGTTCTGTATATGAGGAAATACCACTTTTCCAGGTAAAATCAAAGCCTATATATAGGTCTTAATGGGTGTCTCTTCCTTTCCCGGGAAAGTCAATCACAAGAAAGTGATAGATGGGACAAAGAAGGAGGTCTGTCAGCCAAGACAGAGCAAGTTTGGGGTGAGATATAGATCCCAGTAAATAGACTAACACAGAAAATGATTTAGTACACAAATTCCATCGTACTGTGTCCAGCAAGCATGCAAGCTTCTCTTCCTAGACTTTGAAATCAACTGGAACTTCAGGTAAAGCAAGTATGTGTTAGTAGCCATCCCTCATTTACTGTGCCTCAAGAGAAGCTATTCCAAAGTGAAGAAATCTGGCTAATAGTTCATTCGGGGGTTTCCAACCCTCTGATCTTCCCAGGCAACCAGTGCAATTCAGGTTATAGTCGACATTGTGAGGAGAGAGCCTGAACAGAGAACTGGACTACCTTCCTGGGTGGCACCTTACTGCCTCTCAAACTGCCTCTTCCTAATTCTGAAGGCTTCCATCATGTGGATTTTGGCTGACATTTAGAACACATCGCTACCCTAGGCTGGAAGGCACACCTGTAATTAAGGGAAAGGCTGCAGTGCTCAGGGCTGTCTTTACCAGTTGGGGGAATTTCCCTCCTTCTGGGGCTGGTTATCTGGCTGAATTCCCAGTCCACCCACACACTGCTTCTTAACTCATTAATACTCACAGTATAACAAGAAAAGACCACACTGGATCAGAACTAATGTTACTTTCCCAATTCTCTAACTTCCCGTGTAGCCCCCCCCCCAGTAAATTCCTGCCCGTCCTACTTCCAAATACAATAGTAATGTAAAAGAAAGATCTTGGACTTGCAAAGTTCCACTGTTACTTCAGTTTGTTAACCTCTGGGCTATGAAGAAGTCATTCTGGTTTTGCTTATCTATTATCATTGTTTCCCAGTGTAAGCCTGTGCTAAGTGTTCTGCTATCTTTCAGGTGCTCTCACTGTCTTACCTGGAATCAGCAAATGCTAATATTTTAATTTAAGTTAATATTAAAGCTAATATTAACTTAGTTAATGGCTTTTAGGTAAAGTTGACTTTATTTTAATCCAGCGGTTCTCAACCTTCTAAATGCTGCAATGCTTTAATACAGTCCCTCACATCGTGGTGACTCCCAACCATAAAATTATTATTATTTTAATTACTACTTTATAACTGTAATTCTGCTACTGTTATAAATCATAATATAAATATTTGATATGCAGGATATCTGATGTGACCCCACCCCAGTTTTCACTTTTACCATGTTTGCACTTTTCCCATGCTTAGACACTCTGCTTCACTTCACCCATACCTCACTGCCCCTACCCCCAAGCCCATACATTCACAGAGAAAGCTAATTTAGTCTTTTTCCCAGGGGCTGTGAATAGCCCTTACCTTCCACTTTCTTGAGCTCTTATCTGCAAGGAGACCTGGCTTGGGTGCATGAAGAGACACCTGGATACTCATTTTAGACCTGCAAGGGAAATTTTCTTCATTCTTTAAAGGTTAGAGTTTTATACATACGAATCAACAGGAAACAATGATTGTGCTGAAAAAACAAACAAGTTTATTGGAAACAAAGCCAAACAAACACTAGGGAAACTTCTGGATGCTTCCATGTGAGCACCTTGCCTGAGCAAGACCCCCCCACCACTGTAGCAGGGACAGTCCAGTTCAGTTCTCCTTGGTGCTATCTGCCAGGGTAAGCTTGTCAAAGAGGTACTCAGCCAGACGATTTTCCGGAGCCCCCATCTGGCGCAGGTTGGTCACGTAGCCGCCCATCTCCTTGAGGACTTCGACCTGCTGCTGGAGAAAACGGCGCTTCAGAAGGTTGCACAGGTAGGTATCACCTTGTTCGCTAGCCATCTGGTACAGCTGCAGGAGGCTCTGGTTGAGCGTCTTCTCCAGGTGGAACGCACACTCCATCGCCATGAGGCCATCCATCCAGTCGTGGCGGTCTTGATCAGCAATTCTCCCAAGGGTCAGGGAGCCATGGCGCTCGGTCAGCAGGAGGAAAAGTACCTCAGTACGTTCCATCCACTTCTGCGACTGACGGAGGAAGAAGAGAGCGAAGAACCCCAGGGCCACTTCGTCTTGATTGCAGAAGTAGGCCATGGAGAGGTAGATGTAAGTTGCATACAGCTGCAGCTGGATCTGAGAATTGATAGCAGCGAAGCACTGGTTCAGGTAATTCTGCGGCATCTGTGAAGCAGAATCAGACATGGCGGCAAGAGCACTCAGGCCGTCGGCAGGAGCTAGAAGGCAGCACCAGTTAGCGAGCTGTGGAGCTGGCAAAAGTGGCGGCTGGAGCCTCACAGTCACTTTTAGAGAGGGAGGAGGAGCCGAGGAACCAGACAGTACCAGTTCTGGCTCTGTCCAGTCAGACTCTGAGGCGGCACCTGAAGCTGCACCCGCCCAAACAGGTACAGGAAGTCAGCAACGGAGACAGCAATGGCGCCCGAGTGCCTCGGGCTGTTGAACGAGGTCAAGGGTCAAGAAACTGCGCATCAGGGCTGTATTCCAGAGCAACCCGGAAGTCACTGTGCCGGCTATCCAAACGATATAAGAACTTTCAAATTTGCGAATAAACAGTAAAGTTCTTTTATAAATTGTGTGGATAATTAACTTTAAGGAAGGAAATGATTTGAACATCACCTAATCGAGATCGTTTCATTAAAGTAGTTGTTTTCGTGTGTGATACCATTATCTCATATCTTAAAGATTTAGTCGGGAGCAAGGAAAAACAAAAGACTTAGTCACCTGGATGGTGACTTCAATGTCTATACTAATGACCATTCTTAGGGAGAGGTTAAGAGCAAGTGACTGTCACCGATAATGACACACCGCGTATTTCTGAACAAATTAGAGCATGGAGTTCGATCCCCAGAACTTGTAGAGAGAAATGATTCTGTGCCCTCATTTGTGTAGTGGCATGCCCCAGCGAATACACACATACATACAATCATAAAATAAAATATAAATTCAAACAGTAAAAAGTAAAAAATAAATAAAATTCATGGACTAAAGAGATGGCTCATTTATTAAGAACATATACTTCTCTTGCAAAGGATCTGAGTTTCGCTCCAAGCACTTAAGTCAGGCAGCTCACAACGATCTGTAACTCCAGCTCTAGAGGCATTTGACACTTGTGTCCATTGAAGACCCATGCTCTCTTGAGCAAATACCCCCCACCCCACCACACACACATACACATACTTTAAAAAATTAAAAATAGCCAGGCGTTGGTGGTGCATGCCTTTAATCCCAGCACTCGGGAGGCAGAGGCAGGAGGATCTCTGTGAGTTCGAGGCCAGCCTGGTCTCCAGAGTGAGTGCCAGGATAGGCTCCAAAGCTGCACAGAGAAACCCTGTCTCAAAAAACCAAAAAAATTAAAAATAATTATGAAAAAAGCAAATTTAACAAAAACAACAAAATTTTCTAGACTCCAGTGTGGTGTTGCATGCCTATAATCCCAGCATTTGAGAGGCTGAAGCATGAGAAATTTATTTTCAAAACCATCCTGGGCTGCTATATTCCTAGTAGTCTGTAATCATCATCAGACTAAAATTTGTAAAATGTATATTCGATTTAATAATTTTAATTATTTAAAAACAGGTCATGCAACTATACACTGTACATGGAGCATATAACTCTACCATGTCCCGACTCACCCCTGTCCTGGCTTACCCGGACATGTTTGTTACCCTGTCCTGGACAGCTTCCATTCTACTTTCATGTATCTTTTTAAAACCTAGCCACCACAAATAAGCAAAAATATAACATATTTGTTTTCCCGAGACTGGCATAATTCACTTAATGACTATTCCCAGTTGTACCAATTTTCCTAAAAACAATACTTCATTAATTTTTATGGCTGAAAAATATCCTATTGTGAACATAAAGCACATATTCTTTATCCACTCCTTTGTTACTGGACACATAGAATGATTTCCTAACTTGACTATTGTGAGTTTTGCCACAATAAATGTTGAAATGCAAGTATTTCTGTGATGTGATGACTTAGAGTCCTTTTGGGTAAATATCCAAAAGCAGCATAACTAGGTCATATGGATTTTTTTTTAGTTTTGTTAGGAACCTCCATAGTGTCTTTTCAAGTGGCTGGACTAGTTTACTTTCCCTTTTGTCAATATCCTTGCCATGTTTGTTATTTGTTTTCTTGAGATTCAGTGCTACTTTGCTTTCCATTTTGTCAATATCCTTGCCATGTTTGTTATTTGTTTTCTTGAGATTCAGTTATATTACAATCAGAATGCCAGTCATTAATGGAATGTTTTTATCAATCCAAAATTAAGTCCCATTTCCATTAAAAGACATTGCCTCCTCTGCAGGCCTGCAACTAATAATCTTTTTTGTTTATATAGACTTGCATATTGTGGCTATTTTAAATAAATAGAACAATACTAAATGTAGCTTTTGTGTGCAGTTTCTTTCATTTGACTTTACCCTCTATCCCTTTTCATTGCTGAATAATGTTCTATTGTATGGCTGTACTGTATTTTATCAATACTTTTTTATGTTAATAGAAATCTGGGTTGTTTTCATTTTCTGACTGTTATGACTAATGCTGTTATGAACATTTATGTGCAAGTTCTGTAAAAGATATGCATTTCCAATTCTCTTGGTGATAAATGTAGGGGTGAAATAGTTAGATCATAGATTAGCTTTGTTTCAGACTTTGAGAGATTGCTACATTTTCCAAAGTGATTGCATCATGTTCCATGCCCAGAAGCAATGTTTGAAGAGTCCAACACTGTTATTAGGCTTGAAAACTGGTAGTCACATCTGTGAGGGAAAGTAGTGTCTCACTGGGGGTTTTGATTTGCATTTCTCAGGTAACTAATGATGTTCAATATCTCTTCATACCCTTGTTTGCTTTTTACAAATCTTTGGGGGAATATTCATTCAAATTCTTTGCCTATTTAAAAAATGATTTTCTCTAAAGCTGTTTAAATAACACTTAGCATCAGATTTATATTAAATTGATTTTTTCATATTGTAAAAAATGAAAGTAGTTTCATTCTTTCATAAAAAAAGAGATTTATTTTTATTTGTGTGTGTTTGTGAGGGACATGCCCAAAGAAACCAGAACAGGGAATCAGATCTGGAGCTAGAATTACAGGAAGTTCTGAGTCACTGAATATGAGTACTGGAAACCAAACTTTTGTCAAGAGCAATATATATGTCCGGAATCACTGGGACATATCTGCAGTCCCCAGTTCCAGTTTTTAAACATGTGAATAATTAGTTGTTGATAGCACCATTTGCTGGGAAGGCTGTTCTTTCTCTACTGGGTGATATTGGTACACTCCTGAGGAGGGAGAAATCAACCATATTTCTGGATTATCAATTCTATTCTCTAAGCCTATGCTCAAATGTATGTCTAAACACTAGACCACTGTGTTTTTTACTATAGCTTTATAGCAAACTAAAAATGTAAAAGTTGTGAATCTTCCATTTATCTTTCTGTTTTAGTATTCCTTAGTCTGTTGAAATTTCTTGTGACTTTTAGGATAATTTCAACTTATTCAGAAGAAGCAGCCAAGATTTTTCTGTAGATAATAATTTGTGATTATACTGATATCATCATAGCAACATTTTGATGCATAAATATAGATATCTTTTAATTAATTTAGGTCCTGGATCCTTTATATTTGTTTAATTTTTAGTTCGGGGCCAATTTTCTAAGCAGTATTGTAAATAATACCAGACTTTTGAGTAGAAACTCTCTAAAAGGAAGGAGGCAACCATTCTTATCAAGGTTTGGAGACAAGGAAACACATGCATTGGTCATCACAAGCAGAAATGCTGATCCAAAACTCCCAGAGAGAGTTTGTGTTAATTATAATTGAATAGCAGTTCTCGTTGGGAAAAAAAGATGGATTTTACTTTCTGTGAAAAATGGTGAGGAATTTAAAAATTAACCAAAAAACTGTTTACCGTGTGTCCTTTTTTAGAATAACTTTTTGAGTATCTCTACTTCTCATTGACTTTGAGATATTTTTTAACTGTAATTGAAAAAAAGAAACTAATAATAATGCAAATGAATGTTGTCCACAGAAATGCAAATGATTTGTCTGATGGAATGCAATTAATTCTTGAATCATTTTGCATCTATTCTATTTGAACATTCATTTAAGCATTCCTTGTTGCCCATACACAAACTTTTTCAGTTCTCTTTTGAACATTTTTTATAACAATATTGATGTTACTCGGTAGTCTCTCATTACACTGTGCAAACTGTCACTGACCTCATGAAACTCTTTCTTCAGCCCCTTTGATACCTGGGATTACAGGCATGTGCCAGTACAACTGGATCTCATTTGTAATATCATATAAGTTTCCACATTACTTAATCTTTTCCATGTACATATTTTGTATTTATATAAAAGCCACGATTTTTAATTTCCATCCTTTGGTTATGGTTTAGCATTCCCAATCCTCATACCTATTCCAACAGGATTCACAGAGCTCAGAAAAGTTTGCTTAGCAAACTAAACACTTTTGTGGGGTACTCATCAGAAATATGTTTCTAGAAAACTATTTGAGGGGTTGTCTGAGGAAAAGGAGGCACGGGTAAGTTAGAGATAAAAGAAGGCAGTGAAAATCAAGAGAGGAGGTAAGTGATTAGAGAGCAGGCCATGTACAGATAACTCAAAGTCAGAATGCTGTAGTCACTGTATAAAGGATGCTGGTAGACACTGGGGATGGCATGGAATTAGGGGTGACCAGACCCAGCTGAGAACCAAATGAGAGGTGAGACCTTCTTGACACAGAAAGGAGATTATCAGAGGCTTGAGATGTGGAAAGGAGACAAATTCACATAAGAACCAGAAAGGCTGTGACTCATGATCTAGGTGAAATTCATCTTCAGAGGAAGGAGGTAGGCATTTGAGATTTTGGAGCTAGTATGAATGATCCCTTCATCAGTTCTTATATGTTGCTTGAATAATACCTCTAGACAGAGAGTTGGGATCTGTGTTTACTGAAAATATACTAGTATCTAGGACTGGTTTCTATAGAATGTTGCTTCCAGCTGTTTAAGATATGTAAGGAAGCTCTAATATATTTAGGTGTGTTCTAATACAGGTTTGAAGCACAAAGGCCATAGATAAGCTTCATAGCAGCTCTGCTTGGGTGGACACTAATAGGACATGTCTGACACTAACACCATTATATTCTGAAATTGAAAAATCTCTACTTTT